GCCCCGGAGTGTGGTGGAGGCTCCTTCTTTGGAAGCTTTTAAACAGAGGCTGGATGGCCATCTGTCAGGGGTGATTTGAATGCAATATTCCTGCTTCTTGGCAGGGGGTTGGACTGGATGGCCCATGAGGTCTCTTCCAACTCTTTGATTCTATGATTCTATGATATCAAGTGTAGGCAAACTCCGGATGTCCAGGTGCTTTGGACCTCAACTCCCATGATTATGGGAGTTGAAGTCTAACATATTTAGAGGTCTGAAGTTTGCCCACACCTGATCCACACTGTAGAATTAATGCAGTTTGACACTGCTTTGGCTGCCATGGTTCAATGCTATGGAAACTTGGGAATTGCAATTTCCTTTGGCCTTTAGCCTTCTCTTCCCATGCCTTCCCTATAGCAAAAAAAGTGGGGTGAAAATGATGTAAATAAAGGCACTGGATGACTCTTGAGGTCCAAGTCTGTGGTTTGTTTGTTTGTTTGCTTGTTTACAGTATTTATATTCCGCCCTTCTCACCCCACAGGGGACTCAGGATGGATTACAATGTACACATATTTGGAAAACATTCAATGCCAAAGACACACAACAGATATATACAGACAGTCAGAGACTATTTAACTTTTCTGGCCACCAGGGGAGCTGTCGCTTTTATCGTCCATCTGCAACACTGATGAAGTACTTCTTCATTCCCTGCATGCTTTGCTGGAGTCTTTTTTATGGCCTCGTAAATTAGTTAAATTAGCCTCCCCACACATAGATGTTTCCTAATTTTCCTACTTGACAGATGAAACTGTCTTTCGAGTTGCAAAGGTTGACAACAAGCTACACAATTGGTCGGAAGCTCACTCCGACCTAGGCTGGCTTCGAACTCATGACCTTTTGGTCAGAAGTGATCTTAATGCAGCTGACACTCAGACAGCTGAGCCACAGTTCCGGTGCTTCTATGATCACTCTTCAGGTTATTTGTTATGTTTATAATTCAGATTGTTTACTGTATTGTATATGTGTGTATTGGCATGCAGTTTACCTTAACTCTGTGCTGTGGATGGGAGTGCAGACCTGTGATCTGGTCTGGGAGTATTCAGACTTCAGACTCCATTTTAGAAGTCAGTAGAGGTAGAATGCTTTAGAGAAGAGACTCCAGAACAGAGAGATGCTTTAGACTTTGGACTGTTGATTATAAGAAAGATGCCCTGTGTTATCTGCACAGAGAAATTACTTCAAATATACCTGTAACTGGATTGATAAGCAATGTACCTGTATGCTGAATACATGAAGTTTGTGAGTAAACTAACTATGTTACTTTTAACAAAGACTACTAATTTTTGGTCTCTTGAGGGCATGATTTTAACCAAGGTCTGACCAAGGCAGAATAGAGGGGTAGCATGACTTCCCTGGATGTAGACATAAATAGGAGTCTGGTGTCTAGATCCAGGGAAATCAGGCTACCCCTCTATTCTGCCTTGGTCAGACCACACCTGGAATCACACTGTGTCCAGTTCTGGATACCGCAATTGAAGGGAGATTTTGACAAGCTAGAATGTATCCAGAGGAGGGGGAATAAAATGATCAAGGGTCTGGAAAACAAGCTCTATGAGGAGTAGCTGAAAGAGCTGGGCATGTTTAGTCTGCAGAAGAGAAGGCTGAGGGGAGACATGATGAGGGCCATGTATCAAGATGTCAAGGGAGGAGGGAGCAAACTTGTTTTCTACTGCCCTGGAGACCAGGATGTGGAACAATGTCTTCAAACTACAGGATAGGAGATTCCACCTGAACATTAGGAAGAACTTCCTAGCTGTGAGAGCTGTTCAGCAGTGGAACTCTCTGCTCCAGAGTATGGTGGAGGCTCCTTCTTTGGAGGCTGTTAAACAGAGGCTGGATGGCCATCTGTCAGGGGTGTTTTGAATGCGATTTTCCTGCTTCTTGGCAGAAAGAGGTTAGACTGGATGGTCCATGAGGCCTCTTCCCACTCTATTATTCTATGAGAAAGTAGATTTTTTGGGCAACTGAAAACAACATTTCTGAAACTGCTGGTTTTTTGTGTATATTTCTCCCTAACAGTTCCAAGAGATATCTAGGTATATCAGTCTAACAGCTGAGAAACCTAACTGCCTTGCATGAATACTAGTGGATATTTACTACTAAGGAGGAGGTTGGCTCAAGTGAGATTTTAACTCTTCTCAGGAAGATCATACTTTACAAAAGGTTACCATCTCAACTAAGGTCGTGCTTTTCCAAAAGTTCCAAGAAGAAGAAGAAGAAGGAGAAGGAGAAAGAGAAGGAGAAGAAGGAGAAGAGGAGGAGGAGGAGGAGGAGGAGGAAGAAGAAAAAGAAGAAGAAGAAGAAAAGAAGAGAAGAAGAAGGAAGGGAAGAATGGATAGAGGAGTAAGACAGATAAGTAGAATGTGTAGAAAGGAGAGAGAGTAGATAAGTCCAAAAGTAGATTGTTTACGGGGTTAGTCATTATTATTATGACAATGATACGGAAGATAAACTCTCGGATAAGTGCTTAGATGATAGGTGTGATAGTGCAGAATGCTAATTAGAAATTTAACACAATAAAGGGAAGTGAATGTACTAGTTATATGTATATGCATGGAGACGAGTTAGCGTTATACTTTGATATTTATATTTAGGATAGCATATTCTTCAAGTTAGATTTTCTAGGTATAGTAGATTTAGAGGTATAGGGAGGGATGAGTTGAGATTGTAAATGAAGCGTGATATTGAATATTACTACATGTGGAGAGGGGAGAATCAGGAAGCGAGAAGCATGATGAAGTATAATCTTGAGTATCAAGTAAGGCTTATCTCATGATATATAGATATGAGAGAATCATAATGCTAATAAGTATAAAGTAAATGATAAGTACGATTATAGAGGTATAATAAGATGATAAAGAAGAAGAGGGAGAAGAAGAAGAAGAAGAAGAGGAAGAAGGACAGAAATAAACCACGCCAGGGAAGGAAGGAAGGAAGGAAGGAAGGAAGGAAGGAAGGAAGGAAGGAAGGAAGGAAGGAAGGAAGGAGGGAAAGGGGTTGGTGTTTCCCTCCCATCCAGCTCAGCCTTTCCTCCCAGATTTTCCCTCCCAACAATTAGAAGCTTATTTAAAAGAGGGAGAGCCGAGTGGGCGTGGCTTTGTCGAGAGGTGGGCGGGGCCAGGGTCTGGAGAAAGAGAGGGAGTGAAGGAGTGAGGTTGTGGACGACAGGAGAGAGAGAGAGAGAGAGAGCAGCTCCGGGAGGGAAGGAAGGAAGGAAGGAAGGAGAGAAGGAAGGAAGGAGGGAGGCAGCAGACGGCGGGTCCGGCTCCATTTCCAGACAAGGTGGGTGGCTGAGGAAGGGCTCTCTCTCCCCTTCCCATCCCTTTCTCTCCCTTTCTCCCTCTTTCTCTGGTGCTACTGGAGTGGGCAGGGATCCCAGCTCAAAGGCGACAGAGACCAGACTCACCTCAACACTTGCCTCCCGAACATCTCCATCACATTTGGGGGCTTAGGAAGGGGCTGGAAGGCAGGGGAGGGGGCTCCCGAATCACCCCCCCCTTTCCTTTCTGAGGATATCAAGCCTTGAGAAGGAGGTGGGGCTGCTGCTTTGTCCTTCTGCCCAAGGTAGAGAAGAGCTTTCCCGAAAGAAAGCGAAAGAGAGAGGAGAGAAGAGCCTAGCCTCCAAGGGACCCCTCCTCTCCTCCCTTCTTTCCTCCTCCTCCTCCTCCCTCTTTTCTAAGCCTCATGGTTTGCTTTTGCTTCTCTTTTTCTCTCTCCAGAGGACTTGAGAAGAGCTTCTCCTCTTCTGGGATCCAGAGGAAAGGACCGAGGCCATTGAAGACCCTTCCTTCGCACCTTCTCACTTAAACTGCGGGTTAAAGGGAACCAAGATCCAGGAAAGCAGGCAGGCAGGCACACCTGTCTCTTCTCTCTCTTTCTCTCTCTCTGTCTCTCTCTCCCGATGCAACGCCTGTGGCTTTCGCTTGGGAAACTCCCGCGAGGAGTCAGCCGGCGAGCCTCGGGAGCCTGGCCATGAGGCAGACCCCAAAGTCTCCCCTTCTTCCTTACCCAAACGCCCCTCTTCTTCTGCCTCCCCTGAAAAGCACCGGATCTCAAGGAAAGAGCCTTTGCTTCTCCCCTCTTTTTCCTGTTGAAGGCATCGTCGCGGGAAGAGGAACAAAAGATCCCAGAGGCTGGTTCCCTCTCTTTCTCCCATTCGTAGCCCTGAAGTCCAGCGCCTGCCTTTCTCTTCATTCTGGGGGTGTCACTTGGATGCCTCTGGATCTCTCCTAGTTCGCTTCTAGTCTTCTCCAAGCGAGAGAGAAAGAGGGAGGCGCATCTCCTCGTGTCTGCCTGCCTCTTCCTTGGCTGACTTCTCCAGCCTTTCTGTCTACTCCCTTTCCTATTTGGGGAGCGGGATCGAAGGACAAGACATCCGTGGGGTGTGCAAAGCCTGTCTAGTTTCCCTCCCTACTTCCTGGAAGTTCTTAACCAGCGTCCCGCCCTCCCTTCAAAGCCTGGATGTGGCGCGACTCGGACCCTTCCCGACCCGGTTTGGAGGGGGCGTGCCGGCCTCTCCTCCCTCGGATGGGGCCTCGCTCCCCTCCCAGTTTCCCCAGTAGCTGCCTCCTGAGTCTCTCGGATGGGACCCCGGCACCCTTTCCCCCCTCCCGGGGCTTCACAAGTGGCCAATAAGACTTAGAGAAGGGAGAGGAGAACTGGGGAGAAGGGTAGGGAAGGGGAAGTTGGGTTGGGGAGGGAAGGAGTATTTCCCGAAGGAGCGGAGGAGTGTTTCCAGCCGTGGGGCCGAGCCAGGGCCCTTCCACTCCGGGGCCTGGCAGGCGGAGGAGGAGAAGGAGGCGCCGTTGATGGCCCTGCGCGCCGGGACAGCTTGGTTTGGGCAGGTCTTGCTCCGCGTTTGCCGGCTACACGGTCCCTGGTCCCGGCGCTCCAGCAGCCTCCTCTGCCTCTCTGCCTCCTCGCAGGAGCCCGACCAAGGAGGAGGAGGAGGAGGAGGAGGAGGAGGAGGAGGAGGAGAAGCACAGACTCTGTGCCCGGGGCAACAGCAACAGTCGCAGCCCTTCCCAAGGCAGTCTGTGCCCGGCCACTCTTTGGAGGCGCTTCAGCACCCTGGAGAGCAGCGCCGCCGGGAGAAGGCCAGTCCCTGCTGTTGCTTGGAGGAGTTTCAGAACCCTGGACAGCGGTCCTGCCAAGGAAATCCCCGTCAGCACTCCTTCCGAGGCGACTCCATCTCTGGCCGCTCTTTGGAGACATTTCAGGACCCTGGACAGCAGCACCTCCAAGGGAACTTCCTCTCCTATTCGGAGACGTTTCAGGACCCAGGACAGCAGCCTTTGCTAGGCAACTCCATCCCTGGACCACCTTTGGAGCCCTTTCCCCACCCTAGGCTGCATCTCTTCCAGAGTAACTCTTTGGAGAAGGTTAATAACCCCCCTGGAGAGCTGCCCTTCCAAGGCCACTCTTTGGAAACATTTCAGGACCCTGGACAGCAGCACCTCCAAGGGAACTTCATCCCCTGTGGCTGTTCAGGGACTTTTCAAGACTCGCAAAGAAACTCCATCCCTGGAGCACCTTTGGAGGCCTTTCAGCATCTTTTCCAGAGTAACTCTTTGGAGAAGGTTAATACTCCTGCTAGAGAGCGGCCCTTCCAAGGCCACTCCACCCCTGGTCACTCTTTGGAGACATTTCAGGACCCTGGACAGCAGCGCCTCCAAGGGAACTTCATCCCCTGTGGCTGTTCAGGGACTTTTCAAGACTCGCAAAGAAACTCCATCCCTGGAGCACCTTTGGAGGCCTTTCAGCATCTCTTCCAGAGTAACTCTTTGGAGAAGGTTAATAATCCTGCTAGAGAGCGGCCCTTCCAAGGCCACTCCACCCCTAGTTGCTCTTTCCCGCACCCTGGTAGCCCCGTCACCGGCCACCCTTTGCCCTTGGCCCCCGTGGGTGGTTGCCTGTGTTGCGCCCTGTTGAACCCACGGGCGGCCAGGAGGGGACATGGTCCCTCCTGTGGGTCCTTCCTGGAGGCCATGAAGAGGCAGAACGTGCGGACTCTCTCCCTGATCATCTGCACGTTCACCTACTTGCTGGTGGGAGCGGCTGTCTTCGACGCCTTGGAGTCCGAGCACGAGATGCGTGAGGAGGAGCAGCTCAAAGCCGAGGAGACCCGGCTCAAGGGGAAGTACAACATCACCAATGACGATTATCAGCAGCTGGAGGAGATCATCATGCAGTCGGAACCGCATCGGGCCGGGGTCCAGTGGAAATTTGCAGGGTCTTTCTACTTTGCCATCACAGTCATCACCACCATAGGTGAGTGATCCACCACCCATGATGGGATTGGGATGTGAAATGCTGTGGAGAAGTTATGTAAAGTATCAGGGTTTGGACCTAAAATCTTGGTGCTCTTTGATTACTACTAAGACAAAAAATCAAAAGATATGGGAGTGTGTGTATCCCTTTATGATCCATTGTTTGCAAAAGTAAATGTTGGGCTGAGTTGAAGAGCTGCAGTGAGGCCCGATCCCAAAACTCGCTGTGTTGTGGGTTATCCAGAGAATAATAAATAAATAATAAACTTTATTTATATCCCGCCACCATCTCCCCAAAGGGGACTCGAGGAAGCTAACATGAATATAAGTGCTTTGCCCGTTTTCTACTCTATTAAGTAATTTAATACACTTGTTGGGCTTTGAGACTGTTTCCTTCCCACTTTCTACAACTTCTTGGTAAGAGTAGATGCAGTAGAGACAGTCCCAAGACAAGGAACTCAGTGGGCATCCTTCTGGTTTCTGTGTTTGTTTTGAGCAGGGATTGAATGGCTCCTGTGGCTTTCTTTGGCAACCGTACAGGTGTCTGCATCTCTCTCTTTTTGTTGCTTACTCACAGTTTCCTCTCTTCTTTTTGGAAGCAGGAGCCGAGAGTCCCTTGAGCAAAACCACAGGGACTCTCTCCTCCTTATTCACTGGCTCATTTAACATGAAGCTGTCAACATTGTTTTAGAATGACAGCTTTGTTGACAAGCCAAATGCGGGCTTTTTTTTGTGCTCTTGGCAAAATGGGCGAACCCTATAGAAAAAATACCCCCTTGATGTAAAAGTAAATGCTGATCTTGTGTACATCGAAGTACGCAACAGACTTCAGTCTGAGAAAAATAACATTTCCTAGACTTCAGGCTTCATTTGGCCGCAAGCGGCAGCTTTGTCACTTGCTGGTTTGTATATTTGGATGCATGTGCTTGTGGTGGGAAATGGGGCAGACCTCTCCAGGTAGGAAACACCTGCCTGGAGATGATTGAAACACCTGTGGAGGGCAAAGCACAATGTGCTGAATGTAATAGCTGGTAATACACTGACTCTCTTCCGTTGTACGAGAGGTGAACAATCAGAGCCATTTGATTCATCAGAATGGCTTGGTTGCTTCAGGGCCAGATCTTGTTACCACCAAAATAAACATGACCACATCAAGGTTTTGTCAGGCTGCCCACTTCTCCTGGCAAAAAGTGTACCTTCCATCTTGATTTTGACTACGCAAGAGTAGATTACTTGCTTGAATGAGAATCTGACAGTAAATAAAGAATAACATTCAAAAACAGGGGAAATCCAGACAGAAAACAATCAGGAACAGCTAATCAGCTCTCTACAAAAGATTCCCCCCAGGCAGTAAAAAGCCAGACCTAAAACTGTAAGGCCATTAAATGCTAATCAAGGTGGCCAATGGAAACGTTCACGCCTACCTCAAACAGACAAGAGTTCTTTCTCCCACCCTGGACATCTCGCAGATATACTGTATAAATCCCATTTTCCTAGTTTCCAAGAGCTCTCACAACCTCTGAGGATGCAGGCAAAACATCAGAAGAAAATGCCTCTGGAACATGGTCACACAGCCTGGAAAATCCACAACAATCCAGTCTTCATTTTGTTTTCCAAAAAGCTTTTGTTGACATATCAAATATGGTTGCTTACTTGCCTTTCTGAAGTCTCTCTCCCTTCCTTCCTATTTCCATCTACCTTACACCTTATAACAAGACTTTTCCAGAATCCAAACTTAAATGTTTTTAAGCTGTCTCTTCTTCTTACTGTTGGTAGTACTGTTGGCAGCGCTATAAGGTCATTTACCACGCTGTTCCCCATATTTGCAGTAATATACCTTCCTTTGGTGAGGTTTCAGTATAGGTACTCATAGATTACTCATTCCACTTTGCATTGCTGTGAGTTTTCCAGGCTGCATGGCCGTGCTCCAGAAGCATTCTCTCCTGACATTTCACTCATATATATGGCAGGCACCCTCAAAGGTTGTGAGGTCTGTTGGAAACTAGGCAAATGGGGTTTATATATCTGTGGAATGGTATCCAAGGTGGGAGAAAGGACTCTTGTCTATTTGAGGCAAGTTTGGATGTTGCAATTGGCCACCTCAATTAGCATTTAATGGCTTAAATGGCTGAAAGGGAAAAGAAAGGGGCCTGAGGCTGTTAGGAATTGTGTGAGTTGAAGTCCAAAACAACTGGAGGGCCCAAGTTTGCCCATGCCTGCCATAAAGCCACCCAATCCCACCTGATCTTATAAGCTAAGCAGGGCTGGCCTGGTTAGTATTTACATGGGAAACCACCAATGAATACCACGTGATAAAAGGCTATGTTTTAGGGGAAGGTGTTAACAACACCTCTGAGTGTTCCTTACCAAAGAAGCTTAATTAAATGCATATATTGACAGGATAAATACAACTACACATAAAATAGCTTGACTATAAAATCCCAGTTTTAAACATACTGACAAAGTAGGATGAGTTGCCGAAGGCTTTCATTGCTAGAATCACTGGGTTGCTTTGAATTATCCGGGCTGTCTGGTCATGTTCCAGAAGCATTCTCTCCTGACATTTCACCCACATATATGGCAGGCCCTCAAAGGTTGTGAGGTCTGTTGGAAACTAGGCCATGACATGGCATGAGATCTCCAGAGTTAAATACTTTGGTCACCTGTTGATTTTAGATGGAGAGTTCTGCTTTAGTTTGACTGCTCTGCATCCCAAACATGGTGAGAATTATTTACACTTATTTTGCAAAACAATAGGTTCTAATGTTCAAAGCAATCTGGAAACTGTATTCTTGAAGGCTTTCATGGCCAGAATCAGTGGGTTGTTGTGGCTTTTCCGGGTTGTATGGCCATGTTCCAGAAACATTATCTCCTGATGTTTTGCCTGCATCTATGGTAGACATCCTCACAACCAGGAGCCTCTGGTGGTGCAGTGGGTTAAACCCCTGTGCCGGCAGGACTGAAGACCGACAGGTCGCAGGTTCGAATCTGGGGAGAGGCGGATGAGCTCCCTCTATCAGCTCCAGCTCCTCATGTGGGGACATGAGAGAAGCCTCCCACAAGGATGATAAAACATCAAATCATCTGGGCGTCCCCTGGGCAATGTCCTTGCAGACGGCCAATTCTCTCACACCAGAAGCGACTTGCAGTTTCTCAGGTCACTCCTGACACGACAAAAAAAAAACATCCTCACAACCTCTGAGGGTGCCTGCCATAGATGCAGGAGAAATGTCAGAAGAGGATGCTTCAGGAACATGACCATACGGCCCATTAAAATTATAACAATCCAATCTAGAAACTATTGACTACAAACTTGAATGTGAATTGCTTTGGAAGAAGAGAGGTGCACTCTGTAGATGCTCAGAGACACGATCCCATTCACCCAAGTGAAAAAAGGTCGAGTAATTGGATTACAAAATTGAAAGTGGGCTTGGGGCCAAGCTAGGCAAAGCACTAGCACCAGTAAGCCACAAGCATTTCCACTAATATGTGTTGTCTATGGGCGATTTAAATCTATGGGCATATTTGTGACATCCAAAGTCTGGAATTAAATTTGGGGGGATACTACTGTTTCCAGATCCCATAGCCAGCATGAACTGTGGTCTCAAAAAAGTAACTTTCCTAACATCTATATATGAATACCGGTATTTCATTATAATTATAGAAGTGGATCTATATTCCGGCTGTTAGGAATTGTGGGAGTTGGAGTCCAAAACACCTGGAGAGCCAGAGTTTGCCCATGCTGATCTAGATGCTGGTAATTAATGTGGAATTCATGGAAATAGGACAAACTTGACATGGTTTTAGTTCAATTGATTTCAACCAGACATTTCTCCTATGACAACAAAGGAAAATATTTCAACTGTTTGTTATAAATATGGTTCAAAAGAAATCTGTTTCAAATCTCAAACTTTTCTATATCCCCCAGTGGCACAGTGGGTTAAACTACTGAGCTGCTAAACTTGCTGATTGAAAGGTTGGCTGTTTGAATCTGGGGCGGGGTGAGCTCCTGCTGTTAGCTCCAGCTTCTGCCAACCTAGCAGTTCAAAAACATTCAAAAGTGAGTAGCTCAATAGGTACCACTCTGGCAGGAAGGTAATGGCACTCCATGCAGTCATGCTGGCCACATGACCTTGGAGGTGTCTAAGGACAACGCCGGCTCTTCAGCTTAGAAATGGAGATGAGCACCATCTTCCAGAGTTGGACACAACTAGACTTAATGTCAGGGGGAGAACCTTTACCTTTATCTAAACCTTTCTAGAAATCATTCCAAAAAAGTAATTTTTAAATATTCTGCAGTGACAGAAAATGTGGTGCTTTTTTTGGGAGGTTGTTTCTATTTTTAAACTAACCTTGAAGACATCGTTTGCTCAGACTTTGTTCCTTTTCTCTCCAAACACCTAAGTACCATTCAGGAAGGAAAGCTCATTTTATGCATTAATGCAAAGGCACTCTTTGCACCACTCGAGGGGTGTTAGAGGGATTTCTCTTGCAAAAGCCATTTGAAATTTCCATATTTTGCCCGCTATCAATGACTACAGCAATTGGTCACTTTTTCTAGAGAGATTTGTTATCAAGGCTTTGGGGCAGAGAAGTGTCAGAAATAGCATGTCTCAAGGATAACTACATCTATGTGCAGAATTTGAGATTTAGCAACGAGAGCAATGAGTCCTGATTCCTGAGTATTTGCTTAAAATAATACTATGCTATTAGTACATCCAGAGTGAAATCCTCCCAGATGAGTCAAAAGTGCTTCTTGCATTTCATAAGTCTTTCTATCATAGCTAGATTTCTGCTAACATCCATTTGTATTCATATCAGTGTCCCCACTGTAGAGTTAGTGCAGTTTGACGCCACTTTAACTGGCATGGAATCCTGGGAGTAGTAATTTGACGAGACACCATAACTCTTGAGCAGCGGAGACATGGGGTGCATCTACACTGCGGAATTAATGCAGTTTGACACCACTTTAACTGGCATGGCTCAGTGCTATGGAAACCT